GAAGCCCCTCAGCCGCCGTTCTAGCCACCCTCGGCGAATGGAGCTCCTCCATTCGCAGGTGTGGCCGAACTCTGGTGAACTGTGTTCACACCAAGCCAAGACTCATCTCTCCTTCTGGCAGCTGAACAGAGCCGTGGGGGGAACAGAGATAACTGGAGGATATGCTTCTGGGAAGGGGATTAAAATAAACCTTTTTCTTTTCCCTGCATGAGCATGGCACAGGTTTGCTTTAAGCATCTAAGAGGGAGGGTGTGACTGCTATTTAGGGCATCTTTTTAGAAAACAGCTGCTGAGACTTCACATGCATAAAGCTTTATGTGCTGGCTGTATCTTATAAATATGAAATTGTCTTATGTACCGTATTTGCTGGCATATAAGATGGGTTTTTAGACCCAAAAACATCCCCCGAAAATCGGGGGTCGTCTTATACGCCGGGTATGCTCTATGTAGCTTTGGCTACATACAGTATACCGCGTTGAGCCAATCACGGCAGGCTTTGTATTCATTAATACAAAGCCTGTATTAATGAATACAAAGCCTGCCATGATAGGCTCAGCACGGTATACTGTATGTAGCTGAAGGACGGAACCTGGAAGATGGAGGACACTGCAGGGATCGTGGACAAGGTAAGAGACTGTAATCCCGAGTGTGGCTCGGGATTACTGCTTATGGTACTGAAAATTAACCCGAGCCACACTCGGCAATACCGCCATGGAGGTTAGTGGGTGCATTTAAACATTATTTTGTCTTTATCTTATACGACGTGTATAGCCCAAAACCTATATATATATTTTTTTTTTTAAGCCCCGTGGACGTGCATCAAACTTCCCCCTGTGAACAAAAAAAGTGAACCGTGAAATCACAGCACACAAAAACGTGCACAAGGGTGCAAGGTGCTTCGAAAGAAGGGACCACCTTTCCCGACCCCCCGGGGCGCAAGGCTCCTGACAGGGGTTGAGACTGTTGGTCCACCAACCCGAAGGCCGGTGGACCCCGATCCTTTGGGGACCTGCCGCAACAGGTCCCTCACAGTACTAGGCAGGAGGGATCTCCCGAAGAGAAACCCACCTCCTGGGTGGGAGGAGACAGAGAACCCTATATAAGGGCACAGAATCTCCTCCCAGCGTCAGGAATAGGCCCCGAAGAAACCTGCACCTTCAGCATCTGTGGGTCAAATTTAAAAATAAAAAAGTGCCAAACATGCATAGAGTGCATAAATAAATCTAAAGTGCCACGCTGACAGGCCTTAGGGGCCGGAGTGCAAAAATATTGCCCCGGATTAGCCATAAGGCCTGTCCAAGAGGCATTGTGCAGAAATAAGCAATATGGTGTGTGACCAAGTGCTACAGTGAGTCATGTGGAGTCCCACACCCAAGTGACTTTCTGAGCACCCCTGGGACGCCACCCCCAGGGGGCACAACACCACGGGCTTCTGCCGCCCCCGAACCCTCGAGCCAGACCAAGCTCTGCATCCGTTCAGTCAGAAAGCCATGTACTGAGCAGTTCCCCTCTCACAGGAAGCCGCCCCACACGCTCTTTCACTTCAGCGAGTACTAAGTAACCATCCCCCGCAAGGACGGTTCTTTTCCCCACCGAAAACTGATAAGAACAGATACTACACTTGATCTTAGCCAAAAGGCCGAGAAGCGATAAAACCTATATTTTAACACAAAAAGTGGGGTGTCGTCTTATACGCCGGCAAATACGGTAATATTTTATTTTTAGCTGAATAACATGAAATTAAAAGATTTTTTTACTCAAAATAATAAATAAATAAAAAATAACAAAACACTGTATATTCCCTGTACGTCTTGCTGCCAGCACACACCCGCCCTTTAAAGGGTACTTAACCACATGTGTCAGACGTGGGCATCCTGATTATGCGATTACTGTCATTGGCTGTTACAATGGTCACATGATCGGAAGTACAGAGGGGCCTTGATGAGGCAGTGCGGCTCCCAGGGCTGGTCAGTGTATATACCTCCGTTACATTGCTGGTCACTGAGAATACCTGTTACATTGGCGGTCACTGAGAATACCTCCGTTACATTGGTGGTCAGTGTAAGGCTGCCTAACTAATTCTCTCCTTTCTCTCTCTCCTGGCTGTCTCCTGTATATTCTCCCCAAAAAATTCTGCACACCTCCGGAGTGTTCAGGTTTCACTTGAAGAAAAGGTGGCAACCCTAGTGCGAAGTGAGTGTGCTTTTAGCACAGAACAGTGGCATCAGCTGTATGCATATATGTGGCAGCATTGCATTAAAGCCCACTAGCCATACTGCCACATATATGCGTACAGCCGACGGGAAGGTGTTAAAGTATTCAGTCACTAATTGCTAGGCAGATGTGAGCCAGTAACTACTTAAAAGAAACCAGTCATGAGAGAAATATAGATACTGCCATTGTTAAGCCCGCTTTCTAAAAATGCCAGTTTTCTGGCTGATATGCTAACCCATTGCTTTAATAGTTTGAATCATTAGCCTGGAACAAGTATTCAGTCAGTATAAATATTGATTTTTCTGATCTTTATACTCGTTCTTGATCACTGACGGTTTATGGATAGCAATGATTAGTCAAATGACTTGTATCACATATAACACAGAATAGTACAATAGAGTCTTCTTTGAATATTCACATTTCTCATTCCATCACATATCCAAGCCATGAAAATCATTCCTTTATGCCCCAATGGCTAAATGTATATCCAGAACTGTTGGTGTGTAGTGGAAAAACTGTATAGCCTTATATTATAGAGCCATTTATTCCAAACTGAATAAGCTGTTTTAGGTTTTCTGGCCATCATCAATGCAGTGTATGGAAACCACCGCTTCTATGGAGTAGGGCTTGGGACCCTGCAAGCAAGAATTAAGATTATGGTTCTGGTGAGAAGGGACTAAATTAATCAAAAAGTCTTTCAACCAAAATCAGTGTTTAGCACAACAGAGGGTAGGCTCCATTGTACTGTGCACTAATTCAGTTGGAGGGCTTTTTGACCCCTTTAGTCCCATCTCAACATGACCTTGAATGGTTATACTTGCTATAAAACAGAATACAATTGTGGGCACTAGTGAAAGTGGTCACAATATTGTGTGTTTAAGAGGACAGTTGGAATATCTGTTTTACATGTATCACCGTGCAAAAGAAAGCAATACTCATACAAAACTTTGAGTGATATCACTACAATCCATATAATTTTATCTCTTACCGAATTCAAGATTATTTTTTTTTTACAGAATATGTTGTGCTTAGTGTTTTGGCTGTTAATTATGTTGCTATATAAGACAATAAGGATTAAAAAATATAACTCTTACCATTGCAGTAACCTTTTCTTCCAATTTTGGCACTTAAGGATATTGGTCCGGAGGTGAGGAACCAGCAGCCAACCATTCGCTCGTTGGTTCGCTCTACAGGAGTCTAAAGAAAGTAAATATGGTGTTATCAATGTGTTAGGGGAGTGCAAAAATATCTAGACAACACAGGTACCGTGCTGCTGCAGGAAGACATGCATTAAGTGGAATATGATATGATTAAATGGTACAATTACTGGATAATCACCAGGGCAGCAAGATAGGAGCATATATAAACAGCACCTAAGTGATTACTTTACTCACACAATGACAATTTACACTATTTAGTCAACACGCATCACCTGCATGGCTAAAGACCATTTAGCGCCAGGATAAAAATATGCCCATACACTTAAGTATGACCCCCAACAAATTATATTTTTCTTAGAAAATGTCATCGCATTTTAACTACTTTATGACTGCCCATAGTAGACCTAAGTCAAGTCTTAAAAAGAATGTACTGTTTATCAAAGTATTTTTTTGTTCAGTGTAGGGCTGCAACAACTAATCGACATAATCGATTATAATCGATTATTGAAAAAGTTGTCAACTTTTTCAATAATCGATTAATCGGCTTCCGATCAGTTGGCCCTGTTCACAGCTCCACACGCTGTGCGCCGCACCTCCTCCCCACCTCACGCTCGCCGCTGCCAGACCCGCTCGCATCCACGCTCCACACGCCGCACCTCCTCCCCGCCTCACATTTCCTGCCCATCCACGATCGGCAAGGCACGCGGGGAGATGTAGTAAGGAGGAGCAGGGGTGGGGGGATGACAGCCGCTGATAGACAGGTCCAATCTCAGAAGCAAGTTGCTGGAAGACTGGTCAGGTAAGCCTGCACTTTCCCACACATGGTGCTCTATAATGTATTGCTGGGATTTTTATTTCTCTATAGCTGATGGTACATTGTACTATACATAAGACATAGGAATACAAATACCAGCAATGCATTATACACTGTATGTATAATGTATTGCTGGGATTTGTTGTACTCCTCTATAGCTGGTGATATTCTGCATTGCGCTGTATAGAGGACTACAAGTCCCAGCAATAATACATTATACAGCGCAATGCGGAATACCACCAGCTATAGAGGACTACAACAAATCCCAGCAATAGTACATTATAAAGTGGTACAATGCTAAATACCACCAGCTATACAGGACTACAAAACCCAGCAATAGTACATTATACAGCGCAATGCAGAATGCTGCCGGCTATTATGTACTATTGCTGGGATTTGTTGTATTCCTCTATAGCTGGCGGTGTTCTGCATTGTGCTGTATAATGTGCTTTTGCTGGGTTTTGTAGTCCTCTATAGCCGGTGCCATTCTGCATTCATTACTGTATAATTTTACACTTTCCATTTCACTATATTGCACACCACACTATCTTTTTTTTCTTTTTTACTTCCACCGCTCCAAGCTTGCTCCTGTGATGGACTACAACCTCAATACAAACTAGTAGTCCCATCACTGGAGCAATTTTTTAAACTTTATTTTAATTGTTTATCCGATTAATCGAACTTAATAATCAGCTAACTAATCGATTTTGAAAATAATCGTTAGCTGCAGCTCTAGTTCAGTGAGGCTTGTGCTCACTGAACAGATCTAGTCTTATGGTTAAGGCTAGGGGCCAATTAGTGCAGTTCCTGGTCATGTGATTGGAGCACCATTGTGGCCATAGCAGGCACAGCACAAGAAGAAAATGTTCCTCTGTAGCTATCACCTCTAACCCTACCATCAGATAAGTTATGCTGAACAAAGATGTTCAGATGTATGTATGATTATATATCTGTTTTTTTAATTTCGCGCTTGGCACCATAATTGCCACATCTGCACCATTGTATATGTCCCCAGAAGCCAAAATTACAAAAATATGCTTGTAATTGTTATTACTGAATACTACAGTTGCTAAAAATGAATGGTGTTTATGATGTTCATTAATTCTAATACTGAACAGGTGTGACAAATGACAGTAATGTTCCATGGCACATAGGGCACCCTTCATGTAGTGATGACTAAATTAGGAATCAATTTTTTTCCTGTGGAGAAGCCAGAAAAAAGTATTTAAAGAATTGTATGACAAGTCTTCATACATACAGTATATTTAGGAGAATACAGATATTCTGGGTTAAGAGGTTCACTTGATCTGCAACGTGATTAGCTCATCACTACTTACAGGAGTGCATGTCCCACCTGCACAGTCCTGTAAATTCTTTCTCTGGTAGAAAAGGCACATTTGTTCAGTGATATTCCTAAGAAGTGCACTTCAAGCATTATAATATAAAATATAAATTCTACACAAGAGTGGCAGTAACAACACAGTAACACAGTAACAACACAGCAACACAGCAGGAGCATGTATCCTAGGAAGGATTTTTCCCCTCTACATCTGACATCATAAAACTTCTAGAAAATGAAGTAGCTGGGAAACATATGAGCAAAAGCAAACACACAGTGTTAACATGGACATACATAGCTGAACCATACTTCAATCTTGGCCATGAAGTTAAACAGGAATTGGAGCCTGAGTTAATGTATACATCCATGGATGGGTGCTGCAATAGAGTACACTTCGGGACCAGGTTCAAATTCCTACTGTATGCTGATGACATTTTTGATGTGGAAAATAACCAAGAGCTTTAAGCATGTTAGTGATGCTGTATCCTCTAGACCAGGGGTAGGCAAATTCTTGCCCTCCAGTTGTGGTGCAACTATAAATGCCATTAGGCATTGAAAGACCCTGAGCCACAGGCATGACTCCTAAAGGCAGATACATGATGGGAATTGCAGTTTCACCCCAACTGGAGGGCTGCCCATCCCTGCCCTAAACCATCAGAAAACAAGGGTAGAATACCAAGCCTACTTGACTTTGACAGTGTCATCATGACATCCACATTTATGGCTAGGAGTTATACGAGGCAAATCAAAAAAATTTTCAGCCTAAATGAAGCATTCAAAGTGAAATTCTGCAGGCACCTCCTCCAAACCCATCACGTCATGTCAAACAGCAGTTGTTAAACTGCACTGGGCATATGTTTGCATTGCAGAAAAAAAGATCTATCATACTGAGCGACAATGGCCACTTCAAATCATACCACTACTGGGCGAAGGGGATTACACATTGAAAGAACTGCAAGAAAGAAAAAAAATAGCAAAGAAAATATATTTTTTAACTGTTAACTGCCACAATTAACATTTTCTAAAGAAATAAGATGACACAATACATTAATCTTACAACTTCAGGACTTTGCGAAGTTCCGCAAGAATCCTCTGTACACTTTCTCACCCAAAAACACCCAACACATTTTATGTCAAATTGGCCTTGTTTAAAATCAGCTTCAATTGCCAGGGTATTTTTTTGTGATGATATCATTCATATTTAAATACCGCACCATTAGGTTCCTGTATAGCTGTCATGAAAGTGCAAGGTATAATTGTATATTATTTTGATAAAATGGGTGCAGATAAAAGAATGAAGCTCATTAGCTCCACATCTCAGCACTGTGTTGTTACTCATGCTCTGATCCTCCCTGCCATACTATGTATTTGCAGTCATTATGGAGTTCAATGCTTTAATGTGATCCAATTTGCCATTAGGGCATGATGGCTGAAAGGATTCCGCCGGCAGCTGCATACACTTACTTAGTGGTAGAAAATAGCATGAAAAATGGAAGGATACGTGACATATAATGGTCTACATTAGATAGCAGACCTTCAATGATTAATAATAAGTCTCCCATAATTGTCTTGTGCAGCTGTCATTATTCACGTTCAGAACAGCGAGCCTCACAAATGCAGCCTCGGCCCTAAATGGGACTGCGTGATGTAGAGCTAATAAAACAAATTGGCACACCTGCATACATTAGGAGAGTAGCACCACGCAATAACTATTTGTTATTGGAAGGTAAACAGAAAGTAAATTAAAAAGGTGTCACTTTTTTTTTCCCAGAAAAACCTTCTGGTTGTTAATATAGTTCTTACAAGTAAAGATGGTGAATTGACATCAATCCGGCTTGTGACTCGGAGCTCCCGGTGGACGGTTAGATCAGGCACTGAGGGTCTTTCCAAAACTGCAGAGAGTTGGTACTGAACTTTTCCATATCTTCCAGTGAAAGTTGTAACCAAATTGCTAAATATAACAAAAAACAAGATAAAATAAGATACTTTATTGCCATTGTATGCAAGACACAGCAAACATTTTTTGTCAGGAACAAGATAAAAAGTAATGCATACAATCAATACACACAGTAATACAATCTGACACAGTAATACAATACTACACTTCTTAATAATCCTTTAAAATAAACATTGATTCAATAAACTATCAACCAGACATGAAAAGAAAAAAATGTTGCTTAACCTGCTAGTCCCAGCGCAAAACATTTGTAAGCCGCCTGAGGGGAGAGCAGCATACAAGTACTACTCTGGGTGTGTACAGTTACCCTGATTGTAAAGGTTCGATCAGAAAGATAATTCAAATAAATATCGCTAAAATTAGGAAGCGGTGAACCAATAATCTATTCGGCTGTTCTAACCATTTGCTGCCAATCCCTTCTATCTGCCACCATACAGCTGGAATATCAGACAGCACAACAACGTGTTAAATGCTTTCAGTTGTACTGCAGTAAAAATTCACTGGCACGTTGTGTGGAAGTCGAATTCGCCTGAAAGCCCTCAAATAATAATAGTAACAGATTTCCACAGTAAAATGGTGTTAAGGATAAAAATATCCTTAACACCATTTCCATTTCCATAGTACTGCAATAGGTGCAAAAGAATAATTGTGGATACATGAATGCAGGATTCAGGAATCAGTTAGTCCAATATGGTTGCCAGCATTGACTCTAAAGGAGCCAGGAATTTTTGCATTACGCATTTCCACTGATATAAATAGGCTGAAGAAAACACAGGCATACCTTTCCAGCATTCTGAGAGAACATGTTTTAGCATCAGAATGTTTGGCCAAAATACATTGTCATGACATGTTTGCCCTCTGTAGGACATCTGTCATGTCATACACAGGGAAAAAATAGAGCATCGGCACTTCAATTATAAAAATAAAACTTATTTAAAATTTACAGATTTCTAAAAGAGTTAATGAAGATCTACAATAAGTTTTATTATAAGGTGTTAGAGGAGCTAAGGGTAATGTGTAAGCAACAGTTACCTCTATGCAGTGGCGTAACCAGAGTTATGGGCGCCCGGGGCAGAACATTTTTTTTTGCCGCCCCCCCCCCCATATTATATAAACATCCACTAGAACTGTACCCCCCACCCCCACACATATATATATCAGCTAAGGAACTACAAGTCCAAGCATGCCATCATTGTCCCTGTACACCCCTCCACACACATCACCCAGGGAACGGCAATATCTGGTTGTTGCACAGGGGCAATGAGGGCATGCTGGGACTTGTAGTTCCCTAGCTGATATCTTATGAAGCTGTATTCCACCTGAAAGTACTACAATGTCATTATAGAACTAAGAATAGGACATAACATAAAACTTTTTCTTTTTCTAATACTCACCTGATTTCTGGATCCACCAACAAGTGTAGCCTCCCGTCTCCCACGCTGTTAGAAGTACACTGCGAGCGGCCCTCTACAGTGACTGATTGGGGAGCCGCGTCTGCCTGATCCAGCCAGCTCGGATCGCCGCTATGCGATCTGGGCTGGCTGGATCAGGAAGATGCGCCCTCCAATCAGGCACTGCATGTAGAGGGCCGCTCGTAGTGGCCTCGGAGGAGCGAGCGGCCGCCCAATGACAGCCGGGTGAATGTGACAGAGAGAGGGAACCAAGGGCTTCGTTTAGCGAGAGTCGTGAGGGCGCCCCCCATCAGTCCTGCGCCTGGGGCAAGCGCCCCCCGGTTGTTACGCCACTGCCTCTATGGTGTCCTCCACTAGATATGCTGCTTTAAAAACTCATCTGTTTCCACTGCACTCCTGTTTGTTACTTGCTTTAGAGCTGGTTCACATCACAGCATTGTGGTAAATGTAAATGATCAGTGCGCTTAGCACCAGGGACATGCGGTCAGGGGAAGCAGAGCTTCTCCTAGTATTATGGAGGAAAAAGCTATGAGCTTCAAGTCGAAGCTGACTGCTTTTTCTCCATTCATTGTGGCTTGTAATAGGTAACACAACAGGGAAAGCCTCACCGCTGTGTAACCTGCCATGGACAGAGTGCTCAGGGTTGCCACCTGTCCAGGATTCACCCGGACAGTCCGGGTTTTGACTGCTGTGTCTGGGTTTCATGGCAGCAGAAGCCCGGATACAAGATGTCAGGCAGACGGGGCAACAAAAATTTAGATAGGGCCTACCAGCCCCCCACTGAAAATAGCCTCAACTGTGATATTTACATATGAATGGGTGACGCTATTTACATATGAATAAGCCGCGATTCATTCTCCCAAAAAAAAAAAAAAAGGTCAGCGTCACTAGTGTGTTTGGGTTTCACTTAAAGAAAAGGTGGCAACCCTAAGAGTGCTGCCTGTTAATTACAGGCAGGGCTGCATCTGGCTTTTGAATGCTAAGTTAGGTTGCACAGCAGCGGCCTTCCCCACTACTTGTGTAACCTAACATAGTGAGTCAAGAGCTGCAACAGCCTCTACTCTGTGTTGGAGGCTTGATCTCTGAGGATGGTTTGGACCAAGGACAAAGCGCCATTGGTCCAAGCTGTCCAATCAAAAAAAAAACAACAACAACCCACTGAGGACAATCAATATCGATGCCTCACCAGTGACGAGCAAGTGAGGGACAGGGAGGCTCCTCCCTGTCCCTCCCTCTCTCCTTCACACTAGCTTGGTAACCGGGTTGTAGCGGGGCTTTGTCGAGATGGGGGGTGGGGCTTCGGCAGGCTGGGGGAATGCCTCACCCAGCACAGAAGGTACTGCATGTCACTGTTTAGCACATGCTAGGTGCGTTTGTGCATTGCCATTCATTTGAGTGTAACATGCGGTACTGCAATACCATGCATTTTGTTACAGTATGGTGAAAAAAGTAAAAACAACATGCACTGTGTTGAGGCAGTGCTGCAACATACACCTGCTGGGAGGTGCCTTGGAGTACCATTTAAATGTATAGCAATGCAACGTACCAATGCACCTAGCATGTGGTGCATTGCGCCGCGCTCTGCAGCATACCTTACTGGAGTACTTTAACATGAGCAAAACTCCCTACATTGTACACAGAAGCCTGGCAGCCATTTAAAAAAAACATGGGAAGCCTGAGAGGACAACTAAAAAATAAGTAAGTTTGTATCCAGGATCTGCATACGCCGGCATCATCTACACACCATGTACATTGCTGGCATATGTTTTTTTTTTTTTAATGCCCCCGCAAAGGTGGAAATGTCCTTTAACCTCTTGCCGTCCGCCCGTTGTAAAAAAACGGACGGAAGGCACTGCAGCATTGGCGGGTTGCATTTTTTTTCTGCTCGCGCGCGCCCCCTAGCGGGCACACACGGGCAGAAAAGACCCGACCATTGCACACACCCGTTACCGGGTGTTTCACATATAGGCGATCAGCGGCTCCATAGCCCGCCGATCGTCTATATGTGCTCGTTCGCGGCCGCCTGACCCCTCACCTTGAATCCCGGGATCCGCTGCCCCATCTTGAATCCCGGGACCGGCTCGGA